CACTCTGCAAGGGCCTAGCTTCATTTTCCTGCTCCTGCTCTTGCCATGTGCCACCCTGGCTCCCCATTTGCCTTATGCCGTGATTAGAAGCTTCTCGAGCCCTCACCAGGTGCAGATGCCAGTGCCATACTTCCATACTAGCCTGCAGAACCATGAGCCAAAATAAACCTCTTTTATTTAAAAATTGCCCAACCTGAGGTTTTCCTCTAGAGCAATGCAAACAGCCTAACTCAGGCTGTCTTCGTGGTTATTCTGCGTAGTGTTTACCATGCTTGTTTAAAATGTGGCTTGATATCTTTTAATAGTTTAGAAAGTTCTCAGCTATTATCTCTTCAAATATTGCCTCTTACCTATTCCTCTTGTCTCTTCTACAAATATATCTGAAATACCTTTTATGCTTTTTTCTGTATTTTCCATTCTTTTGTCTCTCCATGCTTATCTGATGTTTTTTGTACTGTCTTCTACTTCATAAATGCTTTCTTAAACTGTATCTAATCTGCTATTAAACCCAATTATTATATTTTTATTTCTAAAATTTTTGTTTGATTCTCTTTTGTAGTTTTTAGTTTCCTGTTAAAATTCTTCATCTTGCCTTTTAATTCCTTGGACATATGGAGCATAATTATTTTTAAATTTGTGTCTGATAACTTCATTATCCATAATCTCCAGTGTATTTATTTCTAGTATCTACTTTTTGTCATGTCATTTTTTTCTCATCTCCCTCATTATTTTTAAGATATTTTGAAGCTTCTGGTAACATTATCTTTCTTTAGAGACAAGTTACTTTTGTTTCTGGCAAAAATTTAGGCTATGACCACCCCTGATCTCATGTCACCTTGAAATGTGATTAACTAGGAAATAAATCTATTCAAAGCTTGGCTTTAATCCCTGTAACCTAGTTCTAGGTTAATTTTACTCTCATAACCCAGACTTTCTGGTTCACAAACCAGTCTTGGGTTATTGTGTCCTTGGTCGGCTCTGAGAGTCCTGAAAGCTTTTCACAACTTCTTGCCCTCTTTGCAATGCTTTTAGAATTGGCAAACACTTGGAAGGGGAGAGCCAAACAAATGTTGGACTCAGTTCTCTAGGTTTCCTCTTTCCCTAGATATTGGACCCACAAATCTTCACTTTCTTGAGAGCTTCTTAAATGTCTTTTACTGGATTCAAAAAATACATTTTGTCCTGTTTAACCAGTCATTCTTATTAGGAAAGTTGATACTAAACAGATCAGATTGCCATTTCAGGAAGTGTAAATTCCTGTCATCTCTTGCCAATTTTATTGCAAAAGACTTAACTACTCTTCCTGCTTCCACCCCAACCCACTGCCATCTATTCACACAATCGTCAAGGTGACTCTTTTGAACATCTGTCGTATCGTGCCACTTTTTTGGTTCAAAATCCTCTAATGGTTTCTTGTCTCACTAAAAGAAAAGCTTTAAAAAATTCTTTATAACTTACAAGGCTTTGCATGACTTACCTCCTCTCAGGGAACACACTCATCAGAAGAAAGCTGTTCAACCCAAAATTTTCTAAACTTTTCTGACCCCAAATTTTTTTTCAACAAAATGTTCATTGATATCTTATTGACGCCTACTCCATATAGCACAGATTAGAGAAATAAAGATTTACTCAAATGAAACTGGTTATATGTAATTCAATCAGTAGATTTATGAGACGGAATTAGTCTATTAGAGAAACCATTCTTTAAGCTGAGCCTGATTTGTTAAATGATAAACAGAGTTCTCTCAGTGTTTGATTTTCATGTCATACGTGATACCTTAGCTCAAGCCTTGATTTTTCAACTGAAGAATCATTTGCAGTAGAAAATATTACAAAAGTGTTGTGACCTATATGTCCATTCCAATCCCACCAATTTTCTGATTCTACACAAGCTCAATCAGTTGTAACACCCTTTAATTATCCACTAAAATAGTTGTTTTCCAGTTCACAGCATCCAAAACCTACGAAAGCTTATGTTTTGGGCGGTGATTGACAATACTCCTTTGGAGGTGGGGACCAAGAAATGCTGCTGATTCTTCACTACTTCTTCTTATGGATGTCTTTGTAATAGAAAAACATAAACTCACACTTTGTAAATATCACTTGTCTAGTCAGGATGCTTGATTCTTAAGTAAATCAAGGAATTCATAAAAGCAATTTAAATAAAAATATACCGTCAAATCACTGGCTGGTACCCTTTGGTATAATTTGCTGACCTCAATATTTGTCAGTTTTTCTACAAACACATAAATTTTAGTGCAATCTTAATTTGTAAAATTGTAAGAAAACCTTGCCGGGGTGACTTATTCAAGAATTGAAAATTGGCACTACAGCTAAGCATTGAAAAGAATTATCTGTTCTCCTTTTAAGGTCTGTCTTTTATAAACAGAGTTAACCCTCTTTTTTCTGGTGTCACAAAAATGTTCTTTCCTTTATTCAACTAAGTTTTTTTTTTAGTGTGCCAGATGTTGAATAGCTTTAAGCCAATATTGGCCCAATTGAGCTCCTTTATTTAAAAATGACCAGGGAGGCAACAGAAACTGTATGACTTTAGAATGGCAAGCCTCTTTGCTCAATGAATATTTGTTAAGCACCTACTATGTTCCTGACATAATTCTAGGCATTAATGATTATAACAGGAGTGAACAAGAAAAACAAAGCTTTTGACAAGTGCAGTGATTATGAGAAACATTCAAGTAATTGTTACAAAGCACAATGAGTATGGCTACAGGAGAGACACAACTTGATCTTTCAGAAGCTAACTGGCTCTTATTTATTTTAAAAGTATGTTTTAGCATCACATATTTGCTAGGCATTGTTCTAGCAGCTGGAGCACAGCAAGAAAAAGCTCAAAGTACTTGTTCTCACAGAGCTCCCGTTCTTATGGCAGTCAAATCTGCAACAGTCATCTTTACCAGCACATGCACAAAGCCAGTATTTTCCAGAGTGATGCTTTTACTGCCCACGAAACATGAGATAATGTAGGTGCTTATACAATAATAAGAGTTATACACTTTTATTTATAATTATTTTTTATTCATAGCTTGTGATACAGGCTTTCCATTTGTGGTAGTATATCTAATGATGCCTTCCTAACTTAATTTATTTAACTTTTTAAAGCTGAATTCAAAGAAAAGTTATTTAGTAAGTAAGAATAGATTGTATATCGATTTGGAAAAAAAAAAAAAAAAGTTATGGTGATGCGCATATTACCAAAAAATGGGAAACACAAAATAAGGTGTTATCCAGATATCCAAGGTCAAATTCTCAGTATAATTTTTTTATTATTTAAGGTTTTAATAGGTATATGACAATTCAGTTCTGGGGGTGGGGGTAAGAAAGAAGACAAATTTAAAATTCTTTACTCCTGTCTTTTGCAAACTGCTTGAAAGTGGGAAGTCTTACTTATAGTCCTCAAGATAACCTGTGCTTAGTAGGCGCTAAATAAATGCTACATAAAGGAATGAAAGAATTAATTAATGAAATGAGAAATGCTCTGTTCGTACCATTCAAACTATAGTGAATACTCTGGGCTGACTGACTATTATTATCCATAGGATATTAGAGTGAAGAGTCTTTGTGAACAAATCCATCTACAAGAACAATTTAGGACTCTGCCTTGAAGATTCAGATCTGCCTTTCTAATAAAAAGAGCATAAAAGAGATTAACCTTTATGCTCTGTAACTGCAGACCAATTGGTACAGCTTGCCTTATATCACTGCCATAGAACAACAGTGATAATGAAAAACTCTTACCAAATTGTGTGTATTTTTGAGAAGACGGTCTAAATTAAGATCCCATTAAATAATATTTTACCACCAGTGGGGTCTCAGTATTATGCTATCAATTGAAAGAGAATCCATGGAAAATGCAAATCATAGAGAGCTGTCACTGAACCTGAAAAAAAAAAAGGTGGGGTGAAGGCAACCTTAAAAATGGCATAATTTTGTGTAGGGGAAAAATACTAGAATGCTAAAGTATTGTTTCTTTCCACATTTTGTGCAGCTTTAGAATAAAGTTTTATTTCTCTTATTTCAAAATGTTAATTCCTGCCATTTTCAACTACCAAGGAAACTATTTTCTATTTTGAGACTTTGAAGAATTAAAAGGCTGTTAAACTTTCTGCTAATAGAAGAATCTTAAGAAACAGTTTAATTTCAAAGAACTCAGAGTTCACTTACAATAAATAGCTCCTACTTTCATTTTTGCTGTGACAATTTAAAGACTAACTCTACAGTAGGCAACCTGTCACTGTCGTATGAGTTCCACCAGGAATTACTCTCTTTTCCCTTCCAAACTCTGATTGCCACACAGTCAGCAACACACAAACAAAGTTAATATTCTGGTCCTGTTGATATCATTCTCGGGTTTTCTTGTCAAGGGTCATCAGAAATTTTGGCATTCGGCAGATTAGCACACGACGACTGCCAAGTCCTCTTACTGCACCAGACACACTTCATAAGCCTTCCTGAATCTATTTGGCAGAAATAGGATCAAGACATCCATGTTTGAAATGGAAGTCTCCCAGCAGCTCCACCTCTAACAGTGGACATCTCTTTGCTTTCTTCTTTGCCAGGCAATGGTGTGAGTCAAGTAGGGTCGGATGAAGGTGACCTGCTGAGTCATCAAACTTGCTGTTCTCCAAGAAACACACGTGTGGTTTCCTCAATTTGAACAATTGCCTGGGAAGAGGAGTCAGCTCCTGATCCTGCCTAAGTTCATTGTAAATACTTTGACAAGGGGGAAAATGGCTTTCTTCTTCTTGCTAATGCATCTTTGATATGTACCACATCTAGATCCCCTTACAAGCAGTTGCTGTGTCAGTCCTTTGACTTCCCTGGCAAATCAATCAAAAGATCTACCATTTCTCTGCAAAAAAAATTAAGAAAATTGATTTCTCAGTGCTGAGCCTACACTTCCATGATTAGAGACCCTCTATGAGCATGCATTTTGTAAAGAAAAACTATGGTAAATACAGCATAGACAGCATGCTTTCCAATGACCAGGTAAGCAAGGATAATTTATTCATTTACTTATTTGCATATTTACACTTACACTTTTGTGTGGGAGCATGTTGCGTCAGAGATTAGAAGGCAGTTTTCACACAAAAGCTCCAAAGAAACATGTTGTTATTCTGTGGAAGTTATTTGATTGGTCCTCATAGTCTTTTCCTTTCAATTGGCATTTAGAGAACTAGCCACACAGGCTGCTCCCCACCTTCCTGCTTGATGCCATTTCTTCCTGTTCTCCTTATCTATAGCTGTGATGATGCACAGCTCCCTCTTTTTTCTTTCTTGTGGGTTTGTGCAGTTTCTTGATGTTTGTGACAGGCCACGATAGGGGAAGCTTTTATCACCGTGGGGTTTGGAGGCCTCAGTAAATTGAAAATTGCAAATGAAATCCACTGGGCTTGAATTCATCAGCTATTATGTCAGATGACCTTTGGCAGCTGCTGATAAAAATGAGAGAACGTTAGCTCTGATCCAATTTTCAGCACTAACCATTCCTTTTCAAATCCATTCACAGTCAGGCAGCAGACACATGGGAAGTGAAAATGATAGGGTTTCAAGAGAATGGCATTGTGTTGCAGATTAAGATTTTCTCCCCCTATTTCTAGAGGTCGGCCCCCAGGCCCCTGTCTGGTATCTACCTATTGTCCAATCAGTTTCAATATCTGCTTCAGAGGACATGTTAGCCATCCTTACAGATAAGTGCTTACAGGAGAGAATGTTGGACTTAATAGTTTTGCTTAGGAGCCATCAAGGGTCGCAGTGTAGCAATATTGACTGGCACATGTTAGTTTAATCTGGCATTCTATGGAATCTGACATTAGATTCTTTCGGAGTTGTTGATCTCTAGGTGATTTTTGTTACCAGCTCTGGCTTTATGAAATTTATTTTTGCACAACTATTTATATTCATGACTCAGAGATATTCTAAAATATCTATCATAGCCAAGCAAAGGCAGCCTAAGCTTGTCTAAAAAAGTACATGGATGCCAAAATTATGAAACTGGGAAAAAATGAGTTTTGCGTATTCTGCTCTTGGAATCCAGCTAAAGGTCAAGGTCATCGATAGTATTTTAGGAGCTATAGATTGTCCTGAAATAAATATGTGCCTATCAACTGGTAGGTTTCTCAATAAACGTAATAGATTTTTATCGTGTAGAGAAAAAGAATTAGCCTTGCTACTTTTGCTGAGGTAGCATGAACCAGCAAAATAACACTGTAGATGGTTGAGTCATCAGTATGATCTCCCATCTATGAAACACAGGAGCAATCTGGAAATAAAGAAAACTGAAATTAGTTTTTTTCTCCACACTTCTCTGTGTTCAGAAAAGAAAAAAAAAATCTTCAATCTTTTGAAAATGTTGAGTTCATTGAGGGAACAGTCCCAAGGAAATGTAGAGTTGAGAAACACCAAATAACTGAAAACCATGTGTCATTATAAGCATTCTCCAAAAAATCTGATAAACTGAAAAATGTTAAATCTGCATTTCTCTAGGTTTTCCTGGTATGCAGAGTTTTTTCATTTTTTCTCTCGACATTGGTTAACATTATATGAAAATAGTTGCTCATACATGATTAGGGTTGCAAAAATGCTTTCTATGGCATAGCAATTCTCTTCTGATACACGAACCCATAGCATTATGGAACTGTAAAAATGCTTAGATGCATCTTCTAAATGCCAGTCTTTGGAAAGAAAAAATATGATTCTATAAGCTTCCTTCATAAGAAGAACAATATTGCAAATATATACGTAAATTATCCATAAATTACATCTTACCTTTAAAAACTAAAGTTAGTATCCCACTGTTTGCCTTACTACCTTTTGTTGGTATTCACAAGTGCTTTTAAGAGAAGACAATTATCTGTTGTCCGCTGAGTATGTATAAATAAAATGCTTAATGATAGTGTCAAAAAATACCACATGCACGTTGTTTTAGAGGTAGGGCCTCACTTTGTCTCTGAGGCCAGAATGCAGTGGCTCAGACACAGCTTGCTGCAGCCTTGACCTCCAGGGCTCAAGCTATCCCTTCACCTCAGCCTCCTGAGTTGCTGGGACTACAGGCGTACTCCACTATGCCGGCTAATATTTTATTTTTTGTAGAGATGGAGTCTCTCCATGTTTCCCAGGCTTGTCTCAAACTCATTAACTCATGCAATTGGCCATCCTTGGCCTCCCAAAGTGCTGGGATCACAGGGGTGCACCACCGTACCGGCCTCCACATGCACATTAAAAGTCTGTTTTTATTGAATAATATTTTAAAAGACTCAAGTTATAGGCAATAATTGGGTCTAAAATTAACAGAGGAACCACCCAACCAAAAAAATATGGATTCAGCATATTCCAAGATAGCTGGAGTCCCCAGATGATCAGATTCTCTTTCTTTCTTTGTTTCTTTCTTTCTTTTTTTTTTTTTTTTTACCAATGAAGGGACACGTTTTAGAGTCCCATAGATTTCTTTTTCTTTCTTTTTTTTTTTTTTTAGTCTCTAATTTCCAATTTATTTTAAAGAACAGAAACTATGCGATAAGTTTCGCTTTACCTAAATTTACCAGTGCATCCATGAATCGCACCAGAATCAGGACAATTTGATTATCTTAATGATTCTGTCATGAAACTTGCACACCGTATCCAAAGGTTAAGACCAGCAGATGGAGGCTCCCACCAGTTCTGTTCACGAGCACTCACTTCTTGGGAGTTAAGGTATCTGAGAAGGCAATTCTCGCCCCAGATTAAGTCCTCAAAAACCTGTAGACTTCTTAAGCTTTGTTACATGATTTCCTGGCCCTATACACATTTGTACCTCAAGGAAAAAGAAACCTTTGCCTCGATGGCTTTGTAAAAACCCCCCTACAACCTTAGGAGGCCGAGCCAAACCTCCCTTCTGACAGAACAAACAGAAGCTCTTATCAAAATGATGAAGTTTGCACTTCACAAGTTTATCAATGATTGTAGCCACACATTACTCGATTCATCCATATTCACAGAGCAGGACTTGCTGCTTAGAGTTTAGTTCCTTAAGTCTCTAACTACCTTTTAGGCTTGCAATGGATGCTGTCACTATTTCCAAAGAAGTAAATAATTTGATATTGGACATGCTCTTAGTGAACTGCAACTGTGACAGCCCCAAGCCACTGAGACCCACTCAGACAACAGGCTCCTGCCAGCAGAAGCAGCAGCACCCACACTTGGCTGTGCCCTGGGGCTTGGCTTTCAGCCACTGCGATCTGCATGCTCAGATACATGAAGCAATTAGATAGGCCTGTTGAGTTTTATGTCTTCATTATTGATTTATCGTATGAGCTCAGCATGATTATTGAACCAGACCAGCCACTGAAACAATCGAGTCATTGATCCTTACATAGGCATGTATTTCCAATTTAGATTTGGGGAGGAAATACATGGATATATTATTATTTCTGGGGTTTTGTCTAAGGGCTTGAACAGAAATTTAGATAATTCATTATTTCCACCTCCTGACCTTTCTTCATTCCCAGTCTGATAGCACCCCTTCCAAAAGATATTTCTGTTACGATAGACATACTCTTCTCTGTGCTGCCCAGTCATAGGCTGTAGCCACAGGTGCCTATAAAGCATTTGAAAGGTGACTGGTGTGACCAACGAACTGATTTTTTTATCTTGTTTTATTGTAACCAGTTTAAATTTAAATAGCAGCATGTGGCTGGTGGCTGCCATGTTGGACAGCACAGCAGCTCTGTTGCATGCTAAATTTTTCTACTCCATGCAACAATAGCACTTGTCAAAATTCTACTTGCTTTTCAAGACCCTGTGGACCTACCACCTGTTCTCTAAAACTTTGATTACTTCTACCACTTCAACATTACCTTTCTCTACATACATACCATTTGAAAACCGTGGATCATTTTCTGCCTGGTATTATCTGCTCTCCTATCCCACAAGTTGCTAGAGGACAAGGACTATGTCCACCTAGTGATATGCTGTGTCAATAACAAATATTTGAGGAATTAAGATGAGCTGTACGTTTTGCAGGGAAGACTATTATTTTGTGAAGAACCTCAGTTTTAATACATGCTAATTAGAGAAGCACTAACACGATCATCCTTTTCACACCCTCTTTTAAAAAACCATTTAGGAAAAATCCAGTTATTTATCTCTCCTCATATATTGTTAGCACTGTTGGAAATGTCAAGCAAAATTATTATGTTTTCTTCTTTTGAGGGCAGGAAACTTTAAGACACTTCTTCATCTTCATAGAGAATAACAGAATCCTTACATGTAGGAAGAACTCAGTAAATACTTCTTGAGTGAATAAACCAATGAATAAGAATTCTTATCCAGTGAACATTCATGTGTGTGTGTGACTTTATGATGCATGATTTATATTCCTCTGGGTATTGGATAAAGAAAATTCAGTACATATATACCGTGGAATACTATGCAGCCATAAAAAAGAACAAGATCATGTATTTTGCGGGAACATGGATGGAGCTGGAGGCCATTATCCTTAGCAAACTAACACAGGAATAGAAAACCAAATACCACATGCTCTCACTTATAAATGGGAGCTAAATAATGAGAACTCATGAACACCAAGAAGGGAACAACACACTGTGATGTACTTGAGGGTGAGGGTGGGAGGAAGGAGAAAGCAGAAAAAAATAACAAACTATTGGTTGCTAGGCTTAATGTCTGGATGGTTAAATAATCTTTACAACAAACCCCATGACACAAGTTCACCTATATGATATAACAAACCTTCACATGGTCCCCCAAACCATGTGAAGTTTTTTTTAAAATAAAGGATTATTATTCAAGTTTCCGAGTATGTTTTAAGTCCCCAAATCAAGATGTGCTTACCTTGGCTTCTAATGTTAGAAAAATTCCTTCCAGAATATTTACAGGAAATTCTACTCAAGGCTTTGGGAGGCTAAGGTGGGATTGCCCAGGAGTTTGAGGCTGCAGTGAGCTATGATTAGGTCCCTGCATCCCAGCCTGGGTGACAGAGTGAGACACTGTCCCTTAAAAATATCTACTCAAAAGTAAACTAAGAGAATGGATTTTAGTTTACAAATCTTTAAAGGGGAATAAAAATACCATGTACATTAGTGTGTGTTTATGATATTTAAGTAGCATTTTAGCACTAAATTGATGATATTGATATAAGACATAATACTAACTTTATTCGCATGGTGCTGTATGACACCTAACTGGCTTTCGGAGAACAGTAAGGTAGTCTGAGACAGCTGTACTATGATTAAAAGAACACTGGATTTAGAGGTAGAAAACCTTGTTTTAAAACCAAATTCTTTCGCTTACTAATTAGGAGTGATAATTTTTATTTCCACAATATATTATAATAGCTTATACTTATTGAATACATATTATGGCCAGAGCTGTTCTCAGAACACCATGTATGTTAACTTATGTAATCCTCCCACAACCCCATAAAGTCAGTATTCTTATTCCCATTTTACAGATGATAAAACTGAGGCACAGATAGATTAAGTAACTTGCCTAAGGTCACACGGCAATTGCAGTGGCACTTGGCAATAGTAGGTTCTTCATGCTGTTTTGGAATATTAGCATTGTATAGATTCAGGTTTCAGCAGGGCATACTGGCTCTTATTATCTTACCATCTCTGATTGTATTCTCTTCAATAAAAGGAAGATAATACTATTTTCTTGCCATGTCACAGGAAAGGCTGCTATGAGGGTCAAATGAGATCATATGAAAATGCAATTACCCATTTACTAATTGTGCTTAGCAGTTGTGCCTGGTGTCTTACATTAAGTTTGATGTGCCTTTTTTTGTGAGTAGGAAACCATCAACCCTAAATATGCCTCATTTGCTGATAAGAAGTCCCCCTCACTCCCATTTTAAGTCAATTAGTCATGACCACACTGAAATAAATCCCAAGAAAGGGAGCCATCAGTACCTCAGCCTCCAAACACCTGGTTATACAGCAACGCCCTTTGGGCCATTTTTGCCTTTGTAAGAAATCTGGGAAAGAATAGATGAGAAGGGAAGGAACCGGTGGATTGAAGCGAGTGTAGAAGAATCCCCCAGAGGTCACTGTGAAGAACCGTAATTTAATTCAACTAAGAACAGCCAGCCATCCCAACACGTTCATTTGCCTCTGCGGGTACTGTCAGAGTCACACAATGCTAGCCACTAAATGGGGAAAGACACACATGGAATATGTGGGGCTTTGTAAACGAAGTTAAACTGTTCTAGCTCATAATACTTTAGGCATCTTATACCTACTCATTTGTCTGTGAATAACTTGCAATACTTCAACGGGATCGCATGTCCATGCACATAAGTTTGGTAGTCTATAAATATGCAAAATTATGTCCAAATAGATTTATGACTGTAGATAAAACATTTCTAATCAGTACCTTTCACCCACATATTGTATTAATTTCTTTTTCATAACTGCAATCGTGCAGATGAATAAGAACTAGTGGCTTTAAGGAGCACAGGTTAGGTGGAGGTCTTAAAGAAATGGAACTGATTATAATAAAATATAAAATGCTTACTGTACTTCATAAGTCTTATGAACACAGCCTCCTGAGGACATAAAATGCCTTTTTTAATGAGGTAAGGGTGAGACACAGCTGGAAAAAAAAATGGGATAAGGACAGAAAGTTTCAGAGTGAAGGAAATTGTTTTAAATCCATCTGACCAATTAATATTTAGTATGATTCAAGTCTAAGGCTAACACTGGCCATCCCTTTTTATTGTGAATAATAATAGCAGTGTCGATAGCTTCTATTCCTCAAGTGTTCACCATGTGCAGGTGTATTGCAGAGTAAATACTTCTAGCTGCTGCAATCAGTAAACCCCCAGATCCCAGTGGCTTTCTGAAAAACAATCTGATCGATATCAGTAGACTCTGATAAGGGTCAGATGGCTTTTCTTCATGGCTTTCCTCCACGTGATGCTTTGGGGAAACACCTTCTTTCCATCCTGAGACTTTATCCTGTCAGAGTCGTTCACTTCTAGCAATGTGGATGGAATAAAGACCCACCTGCGGCAGTCCTCAGGTGACATGTCCGTGGGGAGCGGGACAGCCTAGTTCAGCTCCAAGCCAAGGAAAGTGAAATGGACGGTGAACACACAGCGTTGTGCTTACGGCAGCCAGACACTGTGCCTCACATGTTTTACTCATTTAATGTTTATACAAGCCCTGGAAGGTAGAGGCTACTAACCTCACTTCACAGATGAGAAGCCAAAAATGCAGCAAGTTTAAGTAAGCTGTCCAAGACACACAGTTACTGAATGGTGGAACCAAGGTGCAAACACAGCCTGTCCTTAATGGATGAGAAAAACAAAATTTCATACATGAATGTACAAAAAAAATGTTTATCATATGGACAAAGAACATGAAAAAAAGAAAAAATGGGGCTGTAATTTGTTTAGGAGAAATAGACAGGCTCGATAATAATTAAAGAAATTGAAATTTAAGGGAGAAAAGATTTTACCTATGAATTAACAATAGGAACAAAAAACAATGCTGTACTCAGTGCTGGAAGGGTATGATAGAAAAAATACTGCAAGAAGAGTCACTGAAGTATTAATAGTGACTGTTTATGGTAGTGGATTTATGAACGATATGTCTCACTGTTTTACCTTTAAACATTATTTATCTTTTTTTTTTTTTGAGACAGAGTCTCACTGTCACCAGGCTTGAGTGCAGTGGTGCGATCTCGGCTCACTGCAACCTCCGCCTCCTGGGTTCAAGCAATTCTCCTGCCTCAGCCTCCTGAGTAACTGGGACTACAGGCTGCGCAACAAGGTCCAGCTAATTTTTTGTATTTTTAATAGAGATAGGGTTGCACCATGTCGGCCAGAACAGTGTAAATCTCTTGACCTCATGATCCGCTCTCCTCGGCCTTCCAAAGCCTTCGGATTACAGGTGTGAGCCACCACGCCCAGCCCACACATTCTTTTACTTATAAACACATACACACACATATACATACTCATAAACACATAGCCTATGACTGGGTTACAGGAAATTCCATTTTGGGCTGTAGCATGGCAAGAAATATACTGTTAGCCCTCACATGAAACAAGGACTAAGCCCACACAGGTAAACATAAGCATTTTAAAAAATAGGAAGGCATTTACGGCCCCCAAAACTTCTGCCATCTCAAAGCAAAAAGCTCACTTGTGATATGACTGTGAGACAGTGAGACGAATTTATTTCTGTGGCTTGTGAATTATGCCATAATTTTATGGTCACTTATGGAACTTGTGTCCTTAAATTCATTTCTATAAAGAAGTATGGCTTTGACATTCATAAATCTGTCACAACATTAATGGAGAAAGAGTATTTACAGAATTACATAATTTTTTAAACTGCCATTGAAAATTGTTACCTAATAGTAATATCAGTCATACAGAAAGCAGCATAAAGGCTATAAATATAGAATATGGTGGTTTAAAAGGGCCAGATCCTGAGAAATGGGGCAGAGGGTTATTCAGGAGAGTAGGGGGAAGGGGGTGGAATTTTCACAGGGCTCAGATTTCTGACCATTTTGGGAAATCCATTTTCAGTTCAGCAACCAGTTCAGAAATTACTCTTTTAGCCAAAAAGAGAGGATCTAACCATCTCCCTTCCCCATCACTGAAGTATCCAGAGAACAGACTTAAGCTGCTTATACATATTTAAAGACAAGTAATCTGTCATATTTTCTGTATGGAAAAAAACTCATGAAAATCAGCTGATGAAAATGAGCTCTTTTAAGTGAATTTTGAAAGATTTCATTAGCTGGGCCCCAAAATAATCTGTAAGCAGTAAAATGTCCTGAAATAAGAAGCTGACCAAAGCCAGTGCAGGCTAACAGAAGACCAGAAGAAAATGAGAAAAGTAAAATAAAATAAAAGCAGATGGAAAAGAGATCTCAAAGCCCAGAAAAATTAATGGGTAATGGGTAATTAATAGGTTAATGTGTTAATGGATAAAAATAATTAGTGGGTTAATGGGCACAAAAGCATAGAAAGAATAAATAAGACCTACTGTTTGATAGCACAGTAAGGTGACCATAGTCAATAATAACTTAACTGTACATTTAAAAACAAACAGTGTAATTGGGTTGTTTATAACTTAAAGGATAAATGCTTGAGGAGATGGACACCCCGTGCCCCATAATGTGCTTATTTCATGTTGCATGCCTGTATGAAAACATCTCATGTGCCCCATAAATATATACACCTACTAGGTACCCACGAAAATTAAGAATTAGAAAAGATTTTTAAAGAAAAATCAAATTTGGATAATATTTTCTTGATCAAGGAACAATGTATGGTATTATCTTTAAAGCTCATTTCACTAAATTGAAATAATGGGATTGCCTTGCCTACTACACATGATTCTCAAAATTAGGCTTCCAGCTTTGCATTAGTCAAAGAAAGTGTTAGCAACAAGTATTTTTGGAGCATGGCCAGTGATGACCACAGCATTTTTCTTTTTTAAGGCAATATTTCTCAAAGTGTCATCCATATAATACTGATTTTGAGATACAGTAATAAGATATTATACAAAGATCCTGTACTGGGTGTATGCCAGTGTTATTAAAAGATTTATTTATGACAAAACGTTCACACCCTTTAATACTAGTACTTACTGTGGTTCTGCAGTGAATGTGGGGAAGAGCAATGTGTAATATTCAGCATTTCACCAGAGCCATGAAACACACTGAGGGACCAGTGTCTTTGAGATCACACTTTGGAAGCGCCGATTCGGCATCATTTCTTTGCACCAGTCAAGGCCTTTCCTTCTAGTTGTGAGAGGTAGCATAACGCAGCAGCTGGGAGTGTGGACTCTGGATGTGGACATTGTGTTTTAACGCTGACGGTGGCTTGTTGTGGGCTTTTGGGCAAGTTGTTTGATCTCTCAGTGTTTCATTTTCCTCATCTCCAGGGTGGAGATGGTAGCAGTACCTCACTCAGAGACAGCATTAAATAACTTGATACTCTTAAAGTCCCTAGAACATTTCTGAGCATACAGTAAACACTCTATGTGGCTCTTGGCTACGAAAGCAAGTGAGCAGAGACATCAAATAAATACCCTTCTTTATTCAAACAGCCCCAGATCTATTTGGGGCTACGTTATGCAGGGTGTCCTCTTTATTTTCTGGGGAATATTTTCTCCCTGAGACTGCAAATGATAAACTCATTTTTTAAAGCCTAAAATTTGTAATTAAAACCAGGGAGGTTTTCTTTTTTCTAGATTAAAAGCATACCATTTGAACCTTTGTTTTTTTCCTCTCAGCCCTCCAATTCTTACCATGTTGATGTAATATAGTGATAAATGAAGATATTTTCATCTCTGTTTTACCAGCAGGGCTTCCAAGATGATCAGAACATTTTACTAAGGAATATCCCTTAAATTCTGTGAACAACCAGAGCACTGAGGTTTGATTAGTGCCTTACCACTGACAATGTTTTCACAAACGTAAGAGCATTTATGATTCTTCCTATACCGATTTCCTTTAGCCCAGGCTCTCTCCTTGCTCTCACCTGTAGGTTCAACTATATTTAAGTTTACCTCCATGGAGGAAGAAGTATTTCTCATTTATTTAAATGCATTTCATTCTTTAAGAAGGATTTCGGGCAAATCACAAGATTGACTGAGTACCATGATTAGCTTTGCTGCTTGTCATCCTCCTCTCTCCCAGCAAATGACCCGTTGCTCAGGCACCCAGTAGCTGGGTTCTGCCCAGCTGCCCAGATTTCTCACACAGGGCCCACTGCCTCGATCCTGTCTCAGCCCCAAACATCCTTTGTTCCAACCCCTAGGACCCAGACAACCGTATTTCCTACATCACTATTTACTCTGAAACTCTTGACCAAACTCCTGTTTATAGACCCTCTTGAAAAAAAAATAACGAAAACAATAAATGGTGATGGTTAATAGTCTCAAGGAAGTCATGCCAAGTTCCATGTTCACTTTTTGCTCAGAAAGAAAAATTTCATATTACTGAAATCATGGAAAGGATAACTTTCTTATGGGAAATCTATGTCCAAAAGTTTCTCAGCTTTCTGTTTAACGTTGCAACTAAATAACAAAGTGGAACCTGTTCATTAAGCCCCACTAATGAAGTAACAGATGCCGTCACTGTTAATCAAAAATGGCCAGAATATTCCAGAATTACACAGGCAGTAGGAAGAAAAAAAATGGCCAGAGTAGCTCACATTCCTTTCAAGCCCAGACTTGTTAGAACCCAGAGTCTATAGATGTGCTTAAACTGATGAATAAAAAAGAAATCAGGGGTTCAAAACATGTGATGGTATCTGAACGGTATATAGCAATGTTTGGGTTTTTTTACTGAATGATTTATTTAGATTTTCTCATCTTAAAATTGTAAGACCCTAAAACACAGATTTTTTTCTGATATTTACCTGCCCTCTTAGCTTACCTAAATAATATTGCTCAAATATTTTCTATATTCTTATTGTACAAAAATATATAGTGGTAAATATATAGAACATATAATTTACAATTTTTACTAATTTTAAGTGTGCAATTCATTGGCATTAATTACATTCACAATGTTATGCAACTGTCATCACTATTTTCCAAAACTTTTTCAGCCCAGACAAAACCTCTGTTATCCATTAAGCAGTGACCTCCCATTTCCCTTCCCCTCATTTCCTAGTAATCTCTCTTTTACTTTCTGTCTCCGTGAATTTGCTTATTCTAGATATTTTACGAGGGGTGGAATTGCTGAGTCACATGATCATTCTGTGTTTAGCTTTTTGAGGAACTCAAAAACTGTTTCCACAGTGACTGTACCACTTGATAGTCCCACTAGCAATATACACGGGTTCCAATTTCTCCACATCCTTGCCAACACTTGTTATATTCTGGGAGGGGTGTGAGTGTGTATGTGCGTGTTTTATAGCTATCCCAGTAGGTGTGAAGTGGTATCTCATGATGAATTGTATCTGCACTCTCCTAATGGCTAATGAGTTGGGCATCTTTTCATGTGCTTATTGATCGTGTGTTTATTCTCTTTAGAGAAATATCTATTTAAGTCCTTTGCCCATTTGTTAACTTGGGTTGTCTTTTTGTTATTGAATTGTAGGAGTTCTTTCTATATTCTGTATATTAAACTCATCAGATATATGATTGGCAAATATTTAATATTTTCTCCCATTCTATAGGTTGTCTTTACACTTTCTTAATAATGTCCTTTGATTCACAAATGTGTTTAACTTGAATGAAGTACAATTTGTCTGTTTTCTCTTTTGTCGCTCATGTGTTTTGTGCCATATCTAAGAATTTATTGACAAATAAGGTCATGAAGATTTATCCCTATGTTTTCTTCTAAGAGTTTTATCATTTTAGTTCTTATATTTAGGTTGTTGGTCTATTTTTAGTAAATTTTTGTATATAGGATGAAGTAGGAGCCAAATTTCATTCTTTTGCATGTGGAAATCTAGCTGTCCCAGCACCATCTGTTGAAGAGATTATTCTTTCTTCATTAAATGGTCTTGGTACCTTTGTCAAAATAAATTGGCCATAAATGTTTGGGTTACTTCTGGGCTCACAATTCTATTCCATTTGTATATATATTTACCTATTTTTATGCCAGCACCATACCGTTTTGATTTCAATAGCTTTTAAATCGGAAAATTAAATTTTAAAGTAAGTTTTTAAATCAGAAAGTGTGAGTACTCTAACTTTGTTCTTCTTTAATAGAGATTGTCTTAGCAACTCAGGGCCCCTTGCAAGTCCATATGAATGCAAGCATGGGCTTTCCCATTTCTGCAAAAACAGAAAAAAAAGAAAAAGCTATTAAGATTTTGATAAGAATTACATTGAATCTGTAAATGGCTTTGAGTCATATTGACATCTTAGCAATGTAAATCTTTCCATGAACATGAAATGTCTTTCCATTTATTTAGATTTTCTTTAATATAGTTCAGAAATGTTTTCTAGTTTTAAATGTCCAAGTCTTTTACCTCCTTGGTTAAATTTATTCCTGGTTCCTTTATTCTTTTAGATGCTGTTGTAAATGGAATTGCTTTCTTAATTTCTTCTCCAGACTGTTCATTGCTCTTGTGTAAAAACACAATTTGTGTGTGTGTGTGTGTGTGTGTGCGTGTGTGAGTTGACCTTGTACTCTGTAACTTTCCTGAATTTGTTTCTTAGTTCTGGCGGTTTTCTTGATCATTATTTGGGATTTTCTGTACATGGAGTCATGATATCTGTGAATAAAAATAATTTTACTTATTTTTTTCCAATGTGGGTGCCTTGTATTTCTTTTTCTCATCAATTCACTCTAGCTAGAACTTCAAATACAATGTTGAGTAGCAGGGCTGTAAGTGAACATTCTTCTCTTTTTCCTGATATTAGTGGGAAAGTTTTCAGCCTTTCACCATTGACTATGATGTTAGCTGTGGGTTTTTCGTAAATGACTTCTTTCATGTTACAGAAGTTTTCTTCTATTCCTAGTTTTCTGATGGTTTTTATACTAAAAGAGTGTTGGATATCATCCTGTTTTGAGTAGAGAATAACTGAAACACAAAATAACTCTTTGCTTGGTCTCTGGTTCTCTTATCATACTGAAATTTGTGTGTCATTGCTCATCTCACAGGAACAAGGATTAGTCTTGGCCAGTGGAGGAAATCACTTTGGATTCTGACCAGTGTTTGATATACAATCTTTGCTGCTGACCTGGACACTTCTACTTTCTTAGATTATGATTTATGTCATTTCTGCCTATAAATCCAGACTATACACATGCCTTGGCCCTGCACTTGGCACAGAGTCTTTTGACTCAGCACAAATAGTCTACAGTCCCTCATCTGAGCCCTAAAGACTACATTGACATTACACACAGAACCCCAGTTTCTATAGTAAATGATTCCTTCCCACCTTCCCCAATCACACTGGTGATTAAGTTTCAACATATGCATTTTGGAGAGAACACAAATGTTCAAACCACAGCAGGTATAAATCAGGAAAGTTGCTGGAGAAAGTTAAACACGAATTGATAAAAGTGTTTGGAGAAACAAGCCACTATGGATAAATATTTCTCATTAACTGAATGTTAATGAAAAATCTTATGTTAATCCTTTTTCTGAAAGCTTAAACCAAAAAAAAAACATGTTGGCCATTTGTCTGTCTTTGCAGGTGCAATTTACTAAATATAATTTCATTTTCTTTTGGTGACAAGGTAACTCAATAAGAGGTGAAATTGTTTTCCCAGTACTAAGACAATGGTGAGAGGCAGAGCCAGCGTTTGAAACAGACACTCAGGCTCAAGCACTTGGAGGCTGAGCCCCTCCCTTTAGCACCAGGGTCTTTGGTCTGATCAGCAGCTTTTTTGGACCATAAAATTTGGAGGTATTAAACATTGGCTTGAATATTACTTAATTAAAAGACACCCCTGGAATTTAATTTTTGAAAGTACTACCGGAATTGTAAAAGAATAATTAAACTGGACGTCAGAGCCTCAAGTTTGAATCCCAGGTCTACCATTTCCTGGCAAGTAAACCTTTTTGGTCACATTGCATTTCCTCTAAAGTGTGTTGTTAGAAACAAATGAGACAATACATAACAGAGTACTCTGCACACTGTAAATATTGAGCATTAGCATCGTTTTTTTTTTCTTACTCTGCTCTTTCTCCTAGAAGTGGAGTATAGAAAGAAAAAGAAAAGACTGGGTATGGTGGCTCATGCCTGTAATCCCAACACTTTGGGAGGCTGAGGCAGAAAGATCATTTGAGCTCAGGAGTTCAAGACCAACCTGGGCAACATAGCGAGACCCCTATCTCTACAAAAAATAAAAAATTAGCCAGGCATGGTGGCATTCACCTGTAGTCCCAGCAACTTGGGAGGCTGAGGTGGGAGAATCTCTTGAGCCTAGAAGATCAAGGCTGCAGTAAGCCATGATCATGCCACTACACTCCAGCCTGGGTGACAGAGTGAGACCCTGTCTCAAAATTTAAAAAAAAAAAAGGAATAAAAATAATAATAAACTCGCAACTCAATTACACGACTCTGTCTACTCTATTTTATCATATAGTTATATATAAATAGTGTAGACTATAATATGGTTATTCACATATATTTCCCCTGCTATATTTTCTTGAGTCAAGCTACAGTTTCCCATCACCCCCTGAGGGGATCATTAACCTCTGAGATTCTCATTTCCTAAAGAATAGTGACTCATTCATAATTTTAAAAAGAATCAGTGGAAAGCGTAATTGGGTTGACCCAACAATTCTGCTTCTAAAAATACATACCAAGGCAGTCTTTCCCAAAGTGCTATTCAGGGAACATTAATTACATGAGAGATCTATGAGGATCAATACATCTGAAAAATATCACATATTAGATTCCATCTTAGAAAGTCAAGGTTAATGAGCATGTATATT